TGATTTTTCAACAGAATGTGCTGAACAAAGGGAAAAAGACCCTCTGCATTCAATGTGTGGCTTAGCCATTGGCTAACTGCGTGGGCTGGGCAACTTGTGTTTTGTCATCTGAAAAGTAGGGACAAGTGGACTCATAAAGACCCCCATTAGCCCTTTACCTCTGTTTTGATGTCAGGCAACTGTGTTGTACCCTCAGCTCTCCGAACATACCGCTTACAAGGGAATGCAAAGCACAGACAGGAACACACATTTCATCCTTTGGCAGACTTTTCCAGGACACCCTGGAGGGTCACGGACGGTACTTACGCATTCAAGGAGCCTCAGCATCTCATCAGCTCACCTTCTGCCTCTGGAGGAAGGCTGATGGAGACCACAGGTCTAAGACTCACCAGCAGAGACACACACACCCCCACCTCTGCCAGGCTGAGACTTTCCTTACAGATGGTCTCGGAAAACCCGGGGCGGCTCCAGCCAGACCAGTCAGGGCAAACTGGTCTCAAGCTTGACAAACAGCACGCAATTAATTCCTGCTGTCGGGTTCACAGCAGTGGGCTCAGAGTTCTGTTTGAGAAACGCTGCTGCCCGGGAAAAATATTTACACAACCGAGTGGCTTGCACTGAGAGGCAGAATTCTACCTGCTCAGCCACGAGTCTGGGGCCCTGGCTGACCTGGTCTTATCAGCGGCCTTTGTACCTCATTTAAGATCAGCATGGAGACAAAACCTGGAGCCAAATGACTGACAACAAGACTTAATGAAATTTATCATAAGAATTTAAAATGAGAACCAAGTTTTTAATGCAGTTCGATAAGTACCCTAAGTAAGTCAAAAGATAGTTATCCGGAAAAAAAAAATATATATATATATGTATATTTATGCTTTGAAAGAGGAATAGCAAGAGGGAGAAAAACCATAATAAACTACCAAAGGCAAATATTAGCAAGAATAAGGCTGGTGATGGGAGGCATAAAATGGTACTCCCTAATACTCATCTGTTTATTTCATTTAACTGTTAGACACAGGACAGTAATACAGTTCTTGCCTCAAAGTCAAAGCGTCTCAAAGGGCCTGGCCCAGTGGCCTGTGAACAGGCCCTTCTCAGACCGGGAATGAGCTCACAGAACAAGGGGGGGTGGTGGTGATTTCCCCTGACATCGGACTAGCGTTTTACATCTTAAAAAGTGTTTTTGTGGCTACTGCTTTATTTTTCCCTCACAACACTCCTGTGAAGAAGGCAGGGCAGGTATATTATCTTCATCTGACAAATAAGCCACTTGTTCGTTAGGTTCAAAAGAGAGTCAAAGCTCTAATTAAAGTTTCACAACATTAATAATTAGTGTTTACTGAGGTAAACAGTGCATCCAGTTCACAACATAATTGAGAGACCTGAAAAAAAGCAGACTGTCCCCATCCCCGAAGCGCAGAAATACAGCCATTTTCCTAACCAACGCCCCCCCCCCCCATGTACTTCCTAGGCGTCCACAAGAACAGGGAACGGTCACAAGCAATTTCTATTAATGCTTGTAGCTCATCACATTAACGAATGACATTAGGGGACTCTCTGTAAGACCACCGTCAAGGGTTTGCAATGAATGCAAGCAAAACCGGACCGGCCAACAGACACAGGATGGAGATCTTGTGCAGAAGAGGTGACAGACACCAAGACATGACTGAAGCTGAGGGGGTACGTGGGGAGGAGGAAGATGAAGCTGGGAGGGGTGCCTAGGTGAGGCCGCCAGGTGTGGCAAATAAGAAGCAAGGACACCCGGCAAAATCCGAATTTCGAATACACAGAGAATACTTTTTTTTTTTAGCGTCAGTCAGTCCTCTATTTTATCTGGATGCTCTGTCCACAGAAACCCTCAGCCTCTACCAGAATGGAAGGTCCTTGGAGGCAGGAGTTTTGGCCCGTTTGTTCCCTGCTGAATCCCCAGTGCCCAGAACAGTGCCTGGCACACTGGAGGTACTCCAGGATCTCTGCCATGTACTGGTAAAGGGTATTTCTTCAGCTAGGCGGGATGCGCACAGGTGCCTGGCACATCACCTTTATGCATTTTGTCAGCCTGAAACTTAGGGCCATACATTTCACAAATTACAGCATTAACTAACTGCTCTTCTTTTAAAATCAGTACCTTTTATTCAAGCTAACTGAAGGACTCAATGGGGCAGTCAGAGGATAAAGCGACTCTGAACGGTCCCTTCCTCAGTTTCAACTCTCAACAGGGACATGAATGTGGGATGTCAGTCCTCAGACGTGTTGGCAGCCAAGGGCACCGCTTGGCCAACTGGTTCTCTTCTCAGCTGGCTTCTTTTGCTCCTGCTTTGTTCCTAAGACCATGAAAAGTGTTTCTGGTGCCAATGCCCTGACCTCAACCTTCATACGGGATTTTTCCTCATGTTCTTTGGAGCCCAAAGCACTGATTTTTTAAGGGGGGGGGGAGACACCTTTTGGGTACCACACACGTAGGGGAAATACAGTTTTAAAAAGTATATTTAATATTATACTTTATCTTTGGAAAATGAAATAAAATATACAATTTACTCCACATTAAAAACTTTACTGAACTACTGAAATTACTTATTTTTCTCACCGGAAGGATCAGTAACCAGCCCTCCTTTGCCGCCAAAAAGCCCTTTTTATCTCATCTTAATCTGCAGCCTGTAAATGTTCATATGTTAATTACATTTTGAAACAGTGTATTTATAACCAGCATATACTTTTGCATTGAGTATGATTTTATTGTTGTTTTTTAACAGTGGGCAGCTATTTCTTTTGTTAATACAGAGTAGGAAAAGAAAAGGTAAAATCATGATTTTTATAAGCACATTATCTCAACTGTGTGAAATATACAAAATTTAAAGACAGCATGGAAAATAAGCAGAACATGTATTTCCGGGTTGTGGTATTATCAGTAATTCCTGCTTTATATTTTAAGAAAATATTAAACTTTTATATTTTAAAATTTTCTAAAATGCGTGTGTGTGTGTGTGTGTGTGTGTGTGTGTGTGTGAGTATAACTAAAGTAATTGTGTCTGGCTGAGCCTCTAATCAGATTGCTTGTAGAGGTCATGGCCACTAGAATAAACAGTACTGTCCCTTGCCTGGTCCCGACACCTGTCTGCAGTAACCATTTATCCCCAGACACCCCAGAAGTCACTAATTAGAGAGCTTCCCTTTGCTTCCAAATTCAGTGCACAGACTTGTTAGGCAGGGGGGAAAGGTTATAGCTGGGTCATCAGACTTTAGGAACAAAGGGGAAAGGGACACTCTAGGACGAGTCAAGTTGAAAAGGAAGAGAGAGCAAACGAGGTAGGTATATAAACCCTTGGAGACAGGAATATGCCAGAGATGCCAGAGGGTCAAGATCTGGAGGCACCAACAACCCCAGACCCCACTTCCTCTGAATGTGAACGCAGGTAAGGGCAGGAATGGGGTGGGAGAGGATAGCATCACGGGGGGCTGAAACTCACCCACAACACTCAAGAAATTTCACAATGCTTCAATTTCCTCCTTTACCAAATATTTTACCAGAGAAACAAGGAATAATCCTGACTTCTCTTCCTTAGCTGAGTGCCCGAGTTTCTCTGCCATCACATAGGGATGGTGGTGGTAGTGAGAACGGTATAATCTCATAGGATTACTGTGAGGATTAACCATGATGATGCAGGCAAAGCATCCGGGCCACTGTGGTACACAGTAAGTGCTCATGACATGTTACCTTTTGTCATTCATGTTGTCTTAGTGACAGCAGTCCTGAGCAAAATCTGTAAAAGCCCCGAGAAGCTGGGCAGTAGAAAGGGCAAGCAAAAGAATAAACAGAGAGAGAGACCAGTTGTCCCAGAATAAACCATCGAGTTTGGTTGGGTTTGGTCTGGAGCAAGCTACAGCGTTCTTGCCAGTGGGGAGGGGATGCTTGTAGCTGAGACTGCTGGGACAGAAAGTCACATGTGGGCTGGGTATGCCCACTCCAGAGGGCTCCTCCTATTCCTGGTTTACCAGAGCTTTCCAGCTTACAGGGCGCTTGTAAGTCCACTTCTCGTTCTCACATGGGTCCTAACCCTGCAGGTAGATGTATTTACTGACGTTTTACACATGGAGAAAGAGTCCTGTCCCGTATCCCATGGTTAGTGCTGGAGATGGGACTCTAATTCAGGGCTCCTGATTCCAACTCCCCATTCTTCCCATTAGTTAGAGCAGCAGAGACAGGGTTCTCTGGGTTCAGACATCACACAAGCACTCCCCCCACACAATCCCTGCCTGCTCTTGTACATTCTGCTCTTTGGCAGATCATTCAAGAGTGGAATGAACACCTGGCGTACCATATTGGACAGGTGGTCACCTCCTGTCTTATGCCATCTCTTGGGAGGCTTCTCTCTGTGTTTGTTCTATAAATTTCTCCCAAATCTTATATAAGCAATATTGGACGAGATATGCAAACTACATAGGTCTCTAATGTAACCGGAATAGAACTGCGAATTCTAGTCCTCATGATTCATGATATGGCTTGTGGCATATTCCTCTCTGGGAAAGTCACTTCAAATAGTATGCTCTTCTCTAGCCCCTGTTTCTCTTTGTGTAGCAACATGAAACGAAAGATGCCTGAGAGTGGATAATAGGAATTGGCTTGAAGCATCCAGACTCACTTCCCTCTCTCGTTGCTCAATCCCTCATAAAGAAGTTCGAGAGGAGTCCACATTACACTTGGATCAGCATTCAGGATTTTACATTTATCTTTCACCACTTCAACAGAATTGACTTGGGTGATAATTTACCTAACTGATTCCTTCACATAAAGACTCTAAAGATAAAAGCGAACTCTCGAAGAGATTAAAAAAAAAAAAAGGCAAAAACCATCCTCATTGGATAGAAAATTCTTTGAAAGCCTAGTTATCTAGGCAACTTGCTAATTAATATCTAGCCATTATTAAAAAAGAAATAAGAAATCAGCTTGAGCAAAGGCATACACTTACACACACACACACACTCCAGAGCACAGTTACCTGACGCACAGCCGTTAACTTTTATGGTGTGAGCCATGCTGGCTGGAATCCAATGACAGATCCAGAAAGGAGTGAGGAGTCATGCAAATTTTATGCATCAAGTTCCCAAATGCATTCAACCTGAAACAATAAAGAGAGCCCCATCAAAATGGATCATTTAAAAATATGTACAACACTAAATCTTAGATGTCTGTTTGCAAAGATGGCTGCTCATGGAGGGCGCCAATCCGGGTGAGGGCGAGGCAGCCCATGGACGATGGTGACAGCTGCCCGGCCCCCGCACATGCACCCGGGGACGGGCACCGAGAGCAGGTCTCCAGACACGGTACTCTTCCAGGAGATAAAAAGGGTTCTCTAGAAACGCGGCTGTTTTTAGGAAGGTGGCCTTCAAATGCCAATGGCCTCCTAACGGGTATCGCTCTATAGCCCGTCACGAACCATTTTTGGTTCTTACATGTAAGCTTCTTTTCCAAAGGTTGGCTCAACACTTTCATTCGCTCAATTGCACTTTTAGAGTAGTTGTTGTACCAAGCGTTCACGTTTTTAAAGGATGCATTCATGGGAACCCTTCTGAGGTATTTCACAGCCTTTTACCTACTTGGTCTTTTAAAACACAAATGTGAGATGGTTAGCTCCTCTCTTAAAAAGTCTTCCATATCTCTCACTGTCCTGTCAGATAACCTTCACATGACATAGCGTGGCACATGGTTTGGAAACACTGGAGTTCACGTTGGGCACCCTATTTCTTACTTTATATGAATCCTCTTTTTAAAATTTAACTGAGGGGCGCCTGGGTGGCTCAGTTGGTTAAACATCCGACTCTTGACTTTGGCTCAGGTCATGATCTCAGGGTCGTGGAATCAAGCCCCACGTGGGGCTCCGTGCTGGGTGTGGAGCCTACATGAGATACTCTCTCCCTCTGCCCTTCCCCTGCTCCCTCTCTAAAAAAACCCAAAAAATAAAAAATAAAAAAAAATGAAAGTTAACTGCGATTACTACCATAAGATGTATTACAATCACAAAATTGAAACAAAAAAGAAACAAGAATGGGAAAGGAACCCTGCTCCAACCTTGCTTTTTCAAAATGCCTTTTGAAAAATGCTGGCAAAGCAAGCAAACAATGATACAGATGGAAGTATTCCTTTTCCACCGTGCCCAGATCCTAGCTCTAGACCCACAAGACCCGAAGAAATTGATCTAATGAATTCCAAGTTGAGAATTCAAGCATGAACTCAGAAACCCACAATGACCTTCCAATAGGAGAACGCCAACATAACAAACACATCCATATATACTGGGTTCTCATGCAGCCACTGAAGTCATTTAAGAGCTTTTAATAATGTAGCAAAATACTCAAAGGACATTGGTAAATACTGTATTCTGTCATAAACCTAATTTTGTTAAAAATATGGATGTACATATTTATACATTTATTTAAAACCATGAGAAGTAAATACACCAAAACGTTCCTTACGGTTGCCCCTGGGTGATGACATTAGGAATGAGTTTAGCTCCTTTATTACTTTTGTAATTTTTAACTGTTTTCTTAAAAAAAAAAAAAGAATTAGAGACTTCCTGTGTCTGGTTTTATTTGCTTTAAAATGCTCGGGAGGAAGAAAAGAGAATTTTCCAAATGCTATGCAGAAGGAACCGATCAGGCCATAGTCACGGAGATTATAAGAAGTGAGAAAGATAAGTAAATAAGAGAGCAGAGGATATGGCTGATCTCTGTGATCACACGGGGTGAGCACTTCTCGCTGCGAAGCTAGTGAACTTCTCTTTGCTACGTGAATGAGCCTGCGCTATAGTACAAAAGCTAACAACACCGTTCCCTTGCTTGGCTTCTCCAGCTCTGGTGAGTACCCTGCAGCCCACCCGCAGAGACGTGATTCTCAGCCTTCCGTGTGAGGCCTCCGGGCTCCCTGCTGGTCCCCATTTTTGGTCTGGCAGCACACCAGGAGGACAGGATGGCTCTAATCTGTCTGCCTATGTGGCAATCACCTGACCTGTTGCAAACAGGCACTGGTTCAGGTCCATGGCATTGAGCTTGGAAACCAGTAACCTCTGTGCAAGCAGAGCTGATTCACTCAAACGGCAGGCTTTAGGGATCAAGTGAGCATTACCTTTAAGAATAGGAATGACTACACATGTCTGGCAAATGCAGCTTTGTTAAAAAAAAATACATATATATATACACACACATTTGGACTGGACTATATATAAGGAGGAGGAGAGGGAGCAGGGAGATATGGGGGCAGAGGAGAGAAGCCCAGCTTCTGGAATTCTTCAACTCATTATACTTCTAAAAGTCAACAAAAACAAAACCTAAGCAAAACCCTGATCCCTGGCCCCTTTCTAGACCTAAGTGCTTGTGCTCTTGCTTTATAACAGCTTGTAAATACCACCACTTAAACTCTTGAGGGCAAACAGAAGGCAAGAAGAAACAGGCTGCGTGTATTATGGGTGTGTGAAGTATGTGTCAAGGTATTTGGATGGAGATATGCCCAGAATCTTCTGAGTCAAGCTTCCTCCACTTTGGTCCAAGGTCCTCTCCTGTTAGTGAATCTCCTTCCCCCTGGCAGAAGATTTCTACGTCAGATCCAAATTGGTCTCTCCCACCCTCCCTCAAACTGAACAATAAAATCAAAATGAGGAGGAAGCCCCAAAATTAGGAACTAGAAGCATACTGCTGGTAGAAATAATGTGACGTGGCTGTCACTGGGCGTGGATCCTGGTGGCATCTGCACAAAAACAACACTTTTATATTGTGTATTGATTATCCCCAGTTATTGTTCATGCCTGACAGGTGGCCTCAAACTGTGAGGCCTTAGTCTTCTTAATGATATGCAGATTCTTCAGTTAGTGCATTATATAAACCAGAAAAGGTCTGGCCACGATCCATTCTCTGTTACAGATCAATAAACTGCTTCTTTTCTTCCCTGGAGAAGACTGCAAACAGTAAATCTTAAGTGGTACAATGGTGGCTTAGTCCTGCTAAGAAAAAGCACTTCTTTGAAAGGCTTTAGGAAAAGACATCAATACAGAAAATAAAGAATTTGTCTTCTTGTCTGTTGATTTCAAGAGACTAATCTGAAGAGCATTTTTAGTAGCTCCCCTAGCATAATGCAGAGAATACTACAGACATGGCATGAATTTACCCCATAAATAGTTTATATTATGAGCTTACCACGAAACAAACGTGAAGAACAGCTGGCTAGGTCTTTTCTAAGAACACAGTAATGCAAACAGATGAAACTGAGATCTGATATATACTCTAGGCTGGTACTACCAACCACCCAAATGCCGCTGTCTTGGTTGGAGCCCAGATAATGATGATGAAGACACTGCTGAGGACCATGCAGATGACAGCTGGTATTTATCGAGCTCTTACTACCATCAGTTATTGAGATATAAATGGCATCTACTCTACAGTGCACCATTATTTAAAGTATCACTGATTAAGAAAGGTGCTGTTCATTAAATGGCCATTAAATGCTTATTAAACATTAATTGTAAGACATAGCCTCATTTCTGAAGTGTTTAAAATGTGAAAAATGGGGGCACCTGGGTGGCTCAGTTGGTTAAGCGACTGCCTTCGGCTCAGGTCATGATCTTGGAGTCCCGGGATCGAGTCCCACATCGGGCTTCCTGCTCGGCAGGGAGTCTGCTTCTCCCTCTGACCCTCTTCCCTCTCGTGCTCTCTATCTCTCATTCTCTCTCTCTCAAATAAATAAATAAAATCTTAAAAAAAATAAAATAAAATGTGAAAAATGGGGGCACCTGGGTGGCTCAGGTCATGGTCCCAGGGTCCCGGGATCGAGCCCCGCCATCAGGTTCCTTGCTCGGCAGAAGCCTGCTTCTCCCTCTCCCACTCCCCCTGCTTGTGTTCCCTCTCTCGCTGCCTCTCTCTCTGTCAAATAAATAAATAGATAAAAATCTTAAAAAAAATAAAATGTGAACAATGTGTATCTCAGAATTTGCAAAATTGTGTTACATTCAAGGCACTTGTTAAAAGCACCTAGCAGTTATCACCTTATTCAAACCTCATGACGATTCTGTGAAGTACTGAAAATTCTCTCTCCCCATTTTATAAAAAGGAAACCAAGGCATGGGGAGGTGAGAACATGCCTGGCTCAGAGAGCCAGGAAGTGAGAGAGCTAAGTCCAGAGGTAAGCCATCCAGCCCCCGGGGCTGCATGCACTACTGGTTTAACAAGGAAGAATTTATGCCCATAAATAGGAGGGACCTTTCAAGGAGGTCACCCGGGGGATGTATCTGCTTATTGTAGGATGCTTTGCTCAAATTCCTTTTAGACAGAAAGTTATGCTTCAGAACTTGAGGGAATATTGTTTTTGGAGCAATTGTACTTCCCATCTTATTCCTTGAGATGACGTGCATACAAGCTTGAGGAGGGACTTGGGTGACACACAGGAAATGTCTCAGTGCGTGCCCATCACACTCTCGAGACTCCACAGGACACCAGTCTGCCTGGCTCACCACCTCATGCCCCAGCCTTTGCTATGGATGTCATCGGACTCTTTCCAAAAATTAAGTACTTTCTCAACCCAGCAACATTCTCCGCCACTGAGGATAGGTGGGAGGCTCCCAACGGAATCATAGGAATTTCAAAAATGGACAGAAGGAGGGCAGTCACATTGGAATTAAGAAACTCGAGGCTCAAATGACAACTGGGAAAGGCGAAATCACGGTTTGGACGCCCAGGTTCTGGAATCTCTTTTACGACGTGTCATCGGGAGTTTTTCTTTTGCTTCACAAAATTAGAAACATAAACAGGTGTTCCTAAAATCTGGAAAAGAGAGAATCTGAAAAAATAATCACTCACTATCTCTCAGGGCTAGCACCTGAGGCGGTTTCTTTTTCTTTTCTTTTTGATGTGTCTATTTTTATCACCTTCACGTTTTATTTTATTTTATTTTTTTTTAAAGATTTTATTTATTTATTTGAGAGAGAGAGAATGAGAGATAGCACGAGAGGTAAGAGGGTCAGAGGGAGAAGCAGACTCCCTGCTGAGCAGGGAGCCCGATGCGGGACTCGATCCCGGGACTCCAGGATCATGACCTGAGCCGAAGGCAGTCGCTTAACCAACTGAGCCACCCAGG